CACCGTGCTACTCCTGACAGTTTGTAACCTGTAGCACAAATGGTGAAGCTCCATTACCTTGGTTTGTTTCTTCTCTGTGGCGTAGACGATGGAGGTGCAGCAGACCTCGGCCAGCTTGCGGCCCTGCCCGTAGAAGGACCAGCAGCAGATCTCATCCCCAATGACATCCTTGATGAACAGAACTCTGCCGTTGAAGCGCAGGGACAGCTTGTCAAAGAGCTCGATGTTCTTCAGCAAGTTGTCATCTGAGTTACTGAAACACAGCAACAAAAGCAGGAACAGGGTTTTTTCAAGCAGCCATCTCTGCCTGTTCCACCAGCTTTCAGCACTGATTCAGCTGCMGAATACAAATAAGGAGTGACTCATTGCCACATGCTGCCAAGAAAAGAGGGGTAATAGCCCATTTCAGATATAAATGCACTGCTCTGACCCCTTGAGCAAACACACCAGCCTTTACAGGTCAACTTACACAATTAATAAGGACAGCACAGTGTCTCAAACCATTACACCAACTACCCACGCTCGAGATGATCAAACCCCATTTCACTGCAGTTCTCTGGSCTGATGACAGCAAAGGTCCAGAGCTGGTGTGTGTTGGAAGGGCTACATGCTCTGCACCCTGCACACCACAGACACATTGCCAGGGTGAATATATTACTTAAGAAACTAAGTTTTATTGACAGCCTAGGCAATGTCGGGCCTTAATTACTTTTCAAAGCAAGATACAGTTGYMAAAACCCAAAACAAACCAAAAAAAGCCAAGTTAGGCCTTCCATCATCTTCTTCCATTCCCATAGTCAAAGAGAATCTTTCCCAAAGTGGCAGAAAAAAAGGGACATACCTGGTGTAKGAGTATTTATTGTTGCTTCTATTGTAAAGCAGTTTAACAACAGGCTGTTGGRAGTGAGAGAAAAGCAGAAAAGGTAAGTTCTGTGTTTCAGTACATTTAGCATAAATCCACAGTTGATAAGAGCAGTTACTTTCATTGATGACTCTATCAGTCTCTCCTCTTCTTTCGGAGAGGTGATGATAGGGATGCTGCAGACAGGTTCATACAAATCTTTCTTGTCCTGTTTTAAAGGAAGAAGAAAGAGAGGAAATAAGAGAGAGAAATACTAAAGCTGACACTGCTGCTGCTGTCTCCTTCAGCCCCTCCAGCCATRTTCCCAAATGCTGTGATGAACAGGAAAAGCTCTGGGTTGCTACAGTAACCACACAGTTTATCTTGATCTGCAACCCAGTATCAGAGCAGAGATTTCTTATCCCTGAAGGCAGCAGTGATTGAAACACTGAGATGCAGGTGGATGTCCTCAGCTATAGCAAGGACAAGGTCTAGTCGTATTYGGTTTAAGTGGGCTTATTATTCCATCCTTTCTTGAGGAAAAGGATAGYAGGAGTTGGCAGTAGTTTTAATCCACTCAAAGCACTGCTTAGAAGTGCATCAGTCACTGTGAAGTGAACACTTGGCAGAACAGGATGTCACCAACACAAATCAGCACTCAAAGCAACAACCACATGGGCAGGACAGGCCATGTCCCCAAATCCCACACAGCACAGGCTGTGTGCCCAGASCCCTCACTATCTGTTCACTCAATARWATTTTAAAAATACCTTGTACACCTCACACTTGGTGCCATCTCTAAAGCCATGAAATAATCTCTCAATTGTCTCAAGTACATTTTTTAAGTAAAACATCCATGAAACACTTCACAGAGGCTACTTCTGTTCTTACCTGCAGGGCTGYTTGGCACATGTCCACCAAGCCCTGGATGAGATAGTATTTGGCTTCTGCCATCAACTCTTTGATCTCCTGCCTGTGTTTTGGAAGTGCAATTGTGTCATCTCTGAGATAGTTCAAAATTGTTCCAAAGTGCTTCCCGCAACGGTCTATAAGGATCCAGCCTGAAAAATAACCAACACATTTCAGTCACCTCAACACTAGAGGCCAGGAAAAGCTCTCTGGAGAGGCTGAACAACGCTGAGGTTCCTGGAAGTGCACAGCATACTTCTCCCATTTATTTTCTAGCAGTAAAGCCTCAAGCCAAAAGCACTCAGATTCCAGCACAACACACTGAGATTGCTGCAGGAACCCCACTGCAATGCTACACTGTGATGCTGGGCAGTCAGAAACTTCTGAGAGMCAAGGAGGGACCAGAAAAGAGAATTCACAAATGGTTGCAACAAGTAGCTTTGGGTAGATTTTGTGGCCTAACAAGGAAGATCTGGCAGTTTTTCAAACACATCTACTGCTGCTGCTTGGAGTTAAAGAGAGAGAAGTGTTCTGAAGATGTTAAAAGGCAGACCAGCCCAGAAAAACTACAGTGGGGAAAAAAGCTGTTCTAGTCCCCAAACAGGAGCAAAGAACAGGACAGACAGATCAGGAGGAAGCACACAGGGGATGAAGCAGAGGAAACAGTAGCAAATGGGCAAATTCTTGTAATTTTACAATATCCCTGAAGTCACATTCCCTAAGGAAACAGGATGTCAAACTGCTACCAAACAATAGCAGCATAGGATGCAYGCAGGCACAAGGCTTAGCATGGTGCCAAACCCCTTCCCATAATGTGGAAGGCAGGAAAAAAGGTGTTATTTTGGAATCTAGGTACAGAAAACAACCTAGGAAAATAAGTCTAACCCCTGCTGGACACTCCAGCTGGAGCTATCAGAAAATTACCCTTATCTTCCATTCATGCTGAGGCTCTAACACAAAACAGCTTGTTCTGCCCTCTATGATGTATCATGGATTTAAAATATCCTGTGTCCAGCTGGAGGTGACACACTGCCTGACTGATCCCTAAACAGCATCATGGCACCATGAACCACGAGTGAAATGTGCTGCTAAGGTGGAGGAATAAAAAGATTTTTCCACAAAGCAAGGTAGGATATTCTGAGCCTTAAAGCCAAAAAGTGCACATCCCTCCCCACATACGCAGTTTGAATGATGCCACTGCTCCATGTGACAGAAATGACAACCACAGATTGGTGGTGTTGTAAAGACTGAACAGCCAACAACCTGTTCACCAGCTGTGAGGGCAGGAGAGAGGACTGGTCCTTCCTCAGCTCATCTGAGYAACAAAAGAACGCATTTCTATAAAGTCAAATGATTGCTAACGCCAATGGGAGCTGGCTGCCTAATGTTCCAAGTTATTTTTGGCATCTACCTTTCCCCACAACCTTAATGGAATAAAACCACCACCAAACTCCAAAACTGTCAACAATAAAAGCCATTCCCTTACCTTCCTTGTCGGTGAGCACTTCCATCCTGCCGCTGAACATGGCCTTGAGCATGGTGTCGTGCCTGGTGAGCACCTGCACGGTGGTGTAGTACAGGGAGCCCCCGACGTTGAGGCGCACGTATTTGTTCCCCAGGCTGCCCCCTTTGAGCCCGCTGGCCTTTGGTTTGTGCCCACTGGCTGGGCACAGGGTGCTGCCCAGGCACGTGTCCCCAGACATGTCCTTCTGGAGGTAGATGACCACCCTGCAGCGCGTGGGCCGGGCCGTGGTGCCGCGGTCACTCCTCAGAGGGCCAGGATGGCCGGGCAGGGGCTGGCATCACCTCGGGCTCAGCACGGCACCCCCATGGCCACTGCACACARCCCTGTGGAACAGGCACTTCCTGAGGATCCAGCTCCACGCATCCTGACAAAACACCATTGAGCCGTTTTTCAAACAATTGATGCAGCCAAGTTATGGCAGCATCAATCACATTCCTTTTGTCACATTTCTGAGACGCGTGAAACTCTCCCGACTTCCTTTGCTGTATCTCCAGCCAACACTGCAAACAGCACACAGCACCAGGCTCAAACACTGCAGGAATCCAGCCCACCTCAGCTTCCAAAAGAACCCAACTCTCCTGGAGCTCAGCTGAAACACCCTGGAAGAGCTTCCTGCCCCTCCTTCAGCTGAGGAGTGTGTGACCCCCTGAGTGGGATTTATTAGTGTTGGTTTGACTTCTAACTGGAGATACAAATGACTCTTCAAACACCTCAACACTGAAAACCTGAACACAAATTTCTATTTTCTGACAACTCCTCTCATTCAAAACTCTCTCCATCTTGGAGGTGTGACTAGTCACAATAATTTTAATTTGAAAAGAAAATAAACAGCCTCCCCACCACATACACCACTGTTTGTCACTGATGTCCTGCCTTGCTTTAAACACTCAAACCCACCTTTTTAGAAAAACAACGTGTTTGTAGGAGCAGCCAGACCGAACCTGTGAGGAGACAGAAAGCCAGCCTGTCCCAACGTTTTCCTCAGAAGAGTTCCCAGTCAGTTCTGTCCCTCCGGGCAGTTTCTCACTACTCTGACCGAAGGACGAAGCTGAAGACGAGCAGCACCCCTTGCCCAGCCAGCCTGCGCCAGTCCTGTGAGTGGTCACCGAGGAGCTGTGAGTCCTCTGCTGTAAACAGCCACAAGACTTTTAATTGCCCCTTTCGACAGGACAGAAAATTCCCCACATCCCTTCCCGTCCCTTCCTTCCTGCCCCGCGTGGGAGGCAGGACGGACAGACGGAGGAACAATGGGCCCGCAACGGGACCCGC